GTGTTTTTAAAAAGTAACTAAGTAACTAAGTAATTAATTACTTTTGAAAATAAGTAATCAGTAAAGTAATGGGATTACTTTTTTGGGGAAGTATTCAGTAATTAGTTACTGATTACTTTTTTCAAGTAACTTGACCAACACTGGATTTAAGGGAGAAATCTTTTTTCCTTTTGATGATGTTCAGACACCATTTTGCTCTCAACAAATTAAACAGGGATTGTTAAAGAGTAAAGGACAGATATTTCATTCATCAAGATCCAATATGGGATTTAAAAGTTAGCTTAATTTTTGTGAGATTTATATTATAAACCACATTATATTATTGTAAGGTTTACCTCACAAAATGAAGCCTTTTGAGGCAACTGTTGCAGTGACTTGGCACTATATGAATAAAACTGAACTGAGATGTTGGCTGAACATTGATATAAACTGACTGATAGCCCTAATTATGCTGGCCTATCACCATGTAGAACATTTGACTAGGTTTACTGCCATTTACCTGTAGGCAAAGAATCAATCATGCATATGCTAAACAGTTTCCCTGGACACCAAAATAAATTAACACTGTGGAAGTTTGTTTATGCCACTGGAAAGAGAAAAAAACAAAACAAAACAAAAACAACACAACATATAGCCATACATAAGAAAAATTTTAGAGAATGTAAACTTTCGACTTACGGGTGGAAATCCCCCCCTTTTTTTTTTTTTTTTTTTTTTTTTTAAAAGAGAACTGAGTCAGCCTGAGACTAATCTAATTTTTCAGCTCTCTCAGCTCATGGCTGCTGTTTTTTTTTTTTTTTTTTTTTTTTTTTAAAAACAGCGGCAGCTAAAGTTAGCTAAAGATGCTACCAAAGTTGATGAGTTACCAAAATTAAGTTGGCTAAAGTCGGAAACATTTTACATCTCCCTTAATTTTCGAAGCAAGTGTTTTTAAATGTATAATAGGGCTGTTCGATATAACGATATATATCGGATGACGATATAAAAACGTCTATGTTTCATTTTATGCTATTGTTTGTTTCGTGGTGTCGCAAAATAAACTGTTTACGGCAATATTGTTTCATCGTTTTGATGTTTCACTGTAGTGGCAATATTAATTTCTTAAAAGTTCTCTCTTTCTCTTATATTTAATATAACCACACTACAGACGGACAAGCGCCTGTTTTTATGCGTTGTCGTTAGCAACAACGATGGTAAAACCATCAGGTGTCCGCTTGTTTATTTTACACATAAACCTTTCACAATAAAGCTCAAGATAAACTGAATCACGTAAAAGATTATGCCGAGTATTTATGGATGAGAAGCAAAAAAGAGCCGTCAGGTGACAAAAAAATAAACCTTAGACTCAAACGTTAGAACAGGCTTTTCCCCGCAGCACGCATTCATGCATCTGTTAAAACACTCTTCTCCAGGTACACGACGCCCAGCTGGAAACACTTCACACAAGTCCAGCTGCCCGATATTCACAGAATTTACAGAAAATGTAAAAAGTTAGTGATTTATATCGTTATCGGACAATAGATGTCTTATATCGGGATATGAGATTTTGGTCATATGGCACCGCCCTAATGTATAATTCAGTTACATTTTCCAATAAGAGCATGGAAAACATACTTTAATAGAAAGCAGGTAAGCAAAGCTAACCATCTCCTGGCTATAGTTTCGCATCCAGCATTTTACTTCTAAAACACTGACAAGAAAACAAATTTGCTTATTTCTCAACATGTGACAAGATTACTAAAGCCAACGCAGCCTTCGCCAGCTAACTCTTATTGAGGGTTAGCAGTTAAAGGTTAGCTGTGTTATAGCCCCAAAGCTGGGAAACGTCACGTTTTAGTAACCGCCTTTTTCAGTCACAGTACAGCGAGGCTTGTCCAAGCTGCACATTGATAAATATAGTCTCAAGTCTTTTCTTTCTCTCCCTTCATCTAATCCCTCAGTCATTCCTCTCAGGCAGGTTGCATCACCATGGCTACCAATGAGCTGAGCTCCCAGCAGTGAAGGCACTAGGAGAGTTAGTTTGTTCTGTTGGGAGTTAATGTGTTAATAATGTACTTCAAGGCTTCCTTCTTACACTCACTGGAAATCTGCACTCATGAACAGCCTTATTAAATATCATGTCAACCAAATGTCACTGAATTTACTGTACGTTAATGCTGTGCATTGACCTGAAAGGAGGCAGTAGTCATAATGAGTCCAGTGGCTCTGTGCACAACCTGGATTTTTGCAGGACCTCAGATTTGTTTACTCAAAAAGCAGGATTTGATTATTTCCTGCATCAACAGACACAGTCCTGCCAGTAAGGAACAAACTTGAGCTGAACAGGGAGACTGTTCAAGAGCCTTGCCTCAGTGGTTTGGAACCAGCGCTGAATAACTTGCAAAGAGTTCACCTCAGTAAACATCGGTTTTGTTAGTGCTACCCTTCTGATTTTGACAGTGCTCCAAGAAGAGATGTTGGTTAAACATTACTCAGTCTCATACAGCACGAGTTACTGAATAGCCATAATTGTAAGAAAATGAGTGCCCACCTTTATGCACAAGTCTGCATCAGTTCAAAAATAAATAAATAACATAGAGTCTAAAATCAAGCACTGTAAACTTGATTTTAATCAACTTTCACAGCATAATCACTCAACATGTTGATTTGGGGTCAGCCATTGATTATGCCCAAACGTCATCTTAAAGAACAAATTGAAAAATCAATTTAAAATGAAAAAAAGCACAACCAAAGCTTTAATACCAGTGATTTAAACACATTACATTCAACACTACATCTCGAATGGTGTCCCAGTTCAATACAACACACTCAAAACACTGAAATAAAAAAGGATTCATCGGCACATATGTAGATGTTTGGCATTTTAAGGCATGCATACGCTCTGTAAACATCACAGCAGCAATGTCACAATTTACTCGATTTTTGTATCTGTCGTCTCCTTTTTTAAAAAGAAGGGGGAAAAGTAAGAATTGCACAGAGAGACTTGATTAAACTCTGCAGATTTCAAATATGCACACTCTTTCCCAATCCCATTATTCCAGCATGAACCCACGACCTGCTTGGAGTTGGTATGTAGCATTTAAGTCAGACACAGCCCGGGTGATGTCAAGAGCGCAAATGAGACAACATCTTTCTGAAAATGGCCTCCAGCCCAGAGCTCTCAGGAGCCACAGAGGCGGCCTTGTGTCCCACCATGACGCTTTTTCTTTTTTAGGCTTAGACATTGACCCGCTTGAGCCGGACTGCAGCAGTGCAACGTGCTGTGCAGAGAACATAAACATAATTTAGCCACCTGCGCCCGGAGGAATCTCAACCAGCTTTCCTCCTCCCAGCTCAGCTTGGTTTTAAGAGTTTAAAATAACTCTAAATAAAAATGCAAAAAAAGGAGCTTACAGATCTCCTTTGTTCACCCGTGTGTACATAACACACGCACACACAGACGATACACACATATCCAATTAAAGGTGTAGTGAAAATGATAGCTGCTCTTCTTGTCATTACTTTAACATTTCCAAATGTGTTTGATGCCCCGGGGACCAATAGAAGGCAGACAGTGAAGATTAGGGCCTGATGGAGCTTGTCAACATTTCTTTTCGAAGACAAAACTAAAGCTCGTCGACTTCCTCTTCTTTCTCTCTAATGAGGCCTGCAGAAGCAGACGGGATCAGAAGAAGTGATGACTGACGGCGTTACGGCTGAGCGGTAAAATGATTAAAAATCATTTCTCAAAGTTTGTTCTGCGTTATCTAGGACAAGAAGAGGAGGGGAGAGTGGCGTCTGAGGCGCACTAGCACCCAAACGTCGCACAATACTTGGCCTATTTAGCGTCTCTCCCAGTTTCCACGAGTCTATTCACACTCAACCATTAATTTGCATTGGCTAAAGATTTGCTTATTGGTTCATGAAGCCCTCTTCTCAGTTGCACTACCTTTTTTTCCCCCCAAGCCTTCATTTTTTATTTGTGTCATACTTTTCCTTATTTGAGAAGCTTTCTTTCCCTTTCTGTAGAGGAAAATCCCAACACCTGTTGCATGCAGCCTTTTGACAAGAAGCAAAAGGTGAAGTTGAAGGAACTAGGAGGAAGATGTTACAGGAAGTTGGCATTACCAATTCCCCTAGGAGTCACCACAAATGGTCGAGCATTGCATTTTGTGTTCTGATTATTAGCTTCCATTAGGCAGTGCAAGAGCTCTCACTGTTCCTGCTAATGCCCTCGATACACAAGCTTTTAAAAACCTACAGAAATATGAGATTCAACTCCCCACACCATAATCCTTCCTGTGAAGCTCACTTTTAAGTTAACAAGCTTTGGTTTCTTACCCTGAGACCCACCTGATCTCACAAGCCTATCCAGCCTCTCCATTGAGGGGGAGGGCACCCTGGACCTGGGGCTGCCCGGTAGGGAGCACTCAGAACCAGCATCAAAAGAGTCCTCGTGGTTCAACATGAGCAGCTCTCTCACACATTTGTGGCAGACGCTGTGCTGGCAGGGCAGGATCAGCGGATGGGTGAAGAGCTCCTTGCAGATTGGGCAGATCAGCTCCCTCTCTATGTTCTTGATTGGGACCTGATGATGGAGAAGGGATAACTGAATAAACTGGATTTCTTTTTAACATTGAGGCGTTTTCAGACGGCGCAAGTGCTGTCAGGTACACCGAACAAGACAAAAATAACTTGGAAACAAAAAAGGTGAACAGAAAGACAGAAATAGCATCACAGCTCAGAAGGATACAGCTCTCTTTGATTCCCAGACAACTACTATAATGAAGATGCTGTCTGCAAATCTGAGCAGGTATGCTGTGTCACTGCAGGTGGAGAAATGCACTTTAAGGTGGGCACACTGGGGTGTAGGTTTGACAGCTATACTGATTTCAGTCACTCACCTGACTATCACAATAATGGCCATCCGCAGTGTATTTAACATGTTAAGATAGATTACATAAACCGGGATTAAGCCCTGCTAAATATAGAGAAACAGTGAAACGCATGAGCCCAGCAGCTCACGTTTCAGCACATTAAAGACGATTACGAGCGTCTCTGCAGCAGTCCTAAAGCGGCAGATTGTTGATTTCTTTCAGGTGGTGTGATGAGACATCCCGGCGTAATCAATCAATCCATCCTCCTGCTGGTGGTGGTGCTTGAACAGCAGTAATTTAGAGAAAACACTCACGTGTTAAATACCCAGAAGGATAAAGGGAAGTTTAAACAGAAAACAGTGACCAAGCCTGTTTGAGGCGAGTCACTACGCAAAGAAATAAGTGAAACAAACGCTGGAGTCAGCAATGAATGGAGACTGGTAACTTTTAACAATGCCCAGTCCCAACAGCAGAGGCGAACAATGACGAGTCTCTCACACACACACACACTACCATGAAACTCACTTTTCTCCAACTTACCCCGTTTATGCTGCTACGCCGCATCTCTGCAGACATCCCGGGGGAGAAAACGCTGTGTGAGAGACTTAAAAACACCTAACCCGGCGTGTTGGCTCGAGCTAAAATACCCGAACTTCTCCGACGCGACGTGAAGATGCCGACAGCGACGGATGAGTGAATTTAAATAGAGCGACGCTGCTGAGAGAGTCTGCGCCGACCGCCCGGAGTGAATCAGCAGCCGCTTCTCTGCTGCAGGAGAGCAGGCGGACCGAGACAGGCGGGGGTGGGAGGAGAGCCGTGTGGGAGGGGGGAGTGCGTATGTTAGAGATGGGCGGATCGAGCCGAATATCGGCAGTATCGTTACTAGCGCGATAGCATCGATATTTTCATAAGAAAATGTTCAAATACACGAAACGCTGAAAGGTATTTTTTTGTTGAATTAACTAATTCTTGGGAAAAGTTACTGAATTATGTTACTAGGTCATTGAAACACATGCAAATATACAACAGTATATAAGGCAAAAACAAAGTTTGTACAATCCTAATAAGCTTGCAAGTCAATATTTGGTGTGACTAAATATTTCTTCAACAAGCTTATAAATTCTTTGAGTGTTCTTCAGGAGCAGTTCTCCAGGCTTCTTGAAGGACATTGAAAGCTTTTCTTTGGATGGTGGCTCATTTCTGTTCTGTTGTTTGTCCAGATGATCCCAGTCAGTGTTCCCAGTGTGACTGTCAGTTTTCCATTGTGTGCTTTTCTATCCTGGTATGCTTTTACTGCTCTGGCAGTGTGTTTGGGATCATTGTCATGCTGGAAAATGAAGCCATTGCCAATGGAATGCTGTCCATTTGCACGATGGACTCCCTCTTGCCAACCGTTCTTTCACTGAGACCATTTCTGATGAAGCTTCTGTGAACATCCTAAGCCTCTCTCAGGTCCCGTGTCCGATATTTGCTGGATATGTTTTGTTTGTTTGTTTCTTAGGGATGTGACACTCAGGTGCTGTCAATCTGCTGTACATATGTTTGTATGTGCATACCATTTCCTTTTCTGTCCTCCAATTGTCCAGTTTCTTCAATTTTTTAAAGTGCACACTGCACACCATGCTGAGATATGCCAAGTTTTTTGGCTAATAGTACCTCGGGAATTATTGGTGCAAAAATACTGCTTTATTTCTATCAAATTATATTAATTTTGGCACTTTCTATAGATTCAACTAAAGAAATGGGAACATATATGTGAAAGGCGGCCAGTAACAAATTGCCTTAAGATGCAATTTGTGGTTCTGTTATGTGTTATGTGTAGACACAGCACTAATTCACCACTAATTCATCCCTTGAGTTAAGTTACCTTCTTATGTTTGAATTATTCATAGGTCAGTGTTAGGTAGCTTAACAAACAAAACATTCTTCTGAAAAAATGATTAGGTACAAGGACTGGACTGAAAAAGCGGGGAGGGGGGGAGGGGGCTCAAGACTTTTGCACAATACTGTACTGTATATCAGAGGGACAGCCCAGGTTGACATTTTTGGGAGACAATGTTGAATGTTTGCAATCAAACTGAATTCGGGAAACGTATGCTGTGTTTGCAGATGTTAGCAATGTGGTGTTTAATGTGTGAAGGCTTGCTGAGAACAGACCGGTAATTAAAGTGTATTCATGTGCCTATCAGCACTTGAATTTGAAGTTCAAGGGAAAGCTCTCAAAAGCTTTACAAAAGTACTTAAAATACAAAACAGCCTACCCTTTTCAGTATGTCCATCTTTACACCGGGTTACTACACTGACACCCAGAAGCAAAGGGGGCCAGCAAACTGAGACTGCTGTGCTCGTTACAACGTCAGGGTCCTTCCCATTACATTAGGGGATTTATGACCCTATAATTGTTTGCTGTAGTGATTATTGCGCAGGTCTGCAATTATTTTATTGAACACTAGGGTTGCCTGGCAAGTCACCCCAATAATGTTTCAGTTAGAGAACAAAAAGTGACCATAAAATAAGTTGGGTGCTTTGAGGAGGAGCTGTAATTCCTTCAAGAAGTAAAGTGGCCATGTTATTTGAATTGATTAACCGGCTTCTGCATGCACAGTCACTGGAGGCACAGAGGGCAACTTTAGGACTCTGTTTAGTCATTTGTTTGTTTGCTGGCAGACACTCGGGCCTTGCAGCGACACTGCCAGACAGCACAGTCTTGCTGCTGTGTCACATGATGAAGTTTCTGCCACTGTGGACTTCCATGTTCTCCCTGTGCCTCTGTTCCTCACAAAGTCCAAAGACTTGACAACATTAAATGTCCTGTATGATGTCATTATGTCATATGCTGTATGTCAACCTGTGACTGACTGACAGCCTGTCCTGAGTTTAACTTGGTCCTCTAGGATTTGATTCACCCTCCAACAGCCCTCTTAGATTGGATGGTGATCTATTAAAACTAAATTTAACAGTTTCACAGAGGTCGTAGAAATGTTCTGACACATTACCCTCACTTACAGCATTTTTGTACTGCTGCTCACAGAAAGATGCTCGGCAAAGAATTTCTAGTTACTGTTTCATTAATAGATTTACTGGGCTCCTAATTTTATTTATTCTCTGGTATAACACTATCACTCACTGTGCACGACAGGTCTGACAACAGCTTAAAATATAACAGAAATCTGCAACTGCGGCTGGCATGTGTGAGTCAGTCACGTGTAAAGTCTTCTCCTGTTTCTGTCACACACGAAACACATGCACAGCTCTGTGCACGCATGAACGAATGCCAGAGATTGTGCTAGCAGGAGAGATACATTTCAGCACATTCTGTCAGTCTGGAGTGAATGAAATGGGTAAAGACACCCACCCAGCCCTCCCCTTTTAGTCCCAAACACACCTCAGTAACCCAGTCTCACCAAAACCACAGCTGCTGCCAAGTGGCCCACATTTTGACAGAAGTCCGTGTTCTCCCTGCAGCAGTAACCAGTAACACACCCAGAAAAACCTCTAATTAAACTCATCATGTTCAATTTTTAGATAGATAGATAGATAGATAGATAGATAGATAGATAGATAGATAGATAGATAGATAGATAGATAGATGGATGAGGTTAAATTAAGGGAATGAGTCTCTACTTTTGAACTGCAATAATGTAAAGTGACAAATTTTACAAGAACAGAATAAAATAAAATAGTTTGTGCTACAGGAATACAATAGGTGTGGGTCTTAATAACTCAGTCATGCACTCGTAGTGTATATAACGTAATATAATAGGGTATTGTGTGACACCAACAAAGAACAGATTAGAATAGAAGTCTATGAGCATGCCTCTCCATCCTCCGACAGTCCTGCAGGCCGGCCCGGCGCTGCTGCTGCTGTCGGAGCATGCTGACAGGCAGATCGCCGCTGTCAGAAGGACCATAAATCATCCGAGCGGATGAGCCTCACCTCGCCCCTCACGATCCGCTCCACGATGCTGGCGAACTCCGTCATATCCTCCGAGTCCGACATGGCTACAGATGATGGTGATGATGGTGGGAATGACGATGGATGCACAGTATACAGAAGAAGAGAGCACCTCGATATTTAAAAATGCAGAAAAAATGACGCAAACAACTGCTGCGGCTTGTTAAAGAAACAGGATAAAAGCTTCACAGCTTCGCAGGGGAGGTGAGACAACATCAAGAGAGGAAGAGCCGCTCCTCAGACCATATCCACATCATCATCCATCCTCTCTCGTCCTCCCTCCCTCTTTCTCTCTCCGCACGGGCTTAGGTTTGTCCGTGGAGACTACAGTACCCCACATATGCCGGCAGCAGTTTAATTTTAGTTAGCCTCATCTTGGAAGGAAAAACCCCGCCCTCCCTCCTTTGTAGCCTCCTGTGCCATCTCCCTCCTTATCCTCCACATCATCCCTCGGCGGCGATGTCTCGCTTCACACAGCTCTTTGTATTCGCCTGATCTACCATTTATCACCCCCCGAGTGAATGACTTCCCTTAATCTGTCAATCACTACAAAAATCATAATCATGTCAGCCTGAAGATTAAGGGTCGGTTAGGGAGGAGGGGGGTCTCAAATCAGTTAGTGCCGCTTATTCAAGTTTCTTTTACGCTTTTACGCATGGCTGGCGGCGCACTCACGTGCGCACATGACGCTTTATGGGCCGACTTGTGGTCATTTAGCCTCACGTATGAGAGTACAGGTAGCCTTTTTATGTTACTATTTGGTTTTTTTTGTTTGGGAATCTGAAAACCGCCCCTTGAATGTGACGCATCCAGACGTGGAGAGGTTTGGAGAAAAAGCCAGATTGTGAAGCCGGATTAAGTTCGTGTTTTTAATTTTTCTGGCAATGCCACTTGTTCCGCGTCGGCAGATGGCTGCACGGCTTCATGCAGATATATTCCACCCCATTGAGCATGTGGAAGGGGGACAAGCAGGCAGACTGCCCTGACCGAACAACCGAAGCATAACAAACTTATTAAGTATGTTTCCAGTGGCTCCCAACCACGGATACGATCACAGTCAGCTGGCAGCAGTCGAAAAACCTCCTTAAAAACATTTAAAGATGCAGGTACATAACTTAACTTCTAATAGAATACTACAATAAAAATATGAGCGCCCCATCGTTGAATGATTTAGAGGTCACTAGGATCAACTTGTGGACTGAACAGACAGCAGTGAGAGGCTGCATTTAGCCAATGATGAGGACAGAAGGATAAATTGAGGGATTATCAAAGCTGAACTTCTGTCTGAGGGCAATGTGATTTCACCAGATTTCAGTGGAAAAATCTCACACCAAAACTAAATGTGGCCCTCATCCTGGCACAAGGAAAACCTGAGGGATGACCACACTGTTAGCAAGAACTCATCGTGTAGGAGGCATTAATGTCTGGAGCAGAGTTTATGGCCATCCATCACGTGATGCAGTGCTTTAGTTGTAAACCCGAGATGACACATAACTACCCCATAAAACGCCACAGTGCTCTACACCTATTGCAAAATCAATATAAAGTACTGATTAACGTGTTTCACTAAATAGGACTGACAGAGAATACATGTTTTATAAGCACACATTAGTTCACCTAAGGCCCTGTGATCGTTCCAGATGAGTCATTAATATCACATGAAAGGCAGAGTGGTAAACATGCTGCATTTCTTCACTTGTTTTAGTAGAAACAGCTCAGTTGACGACTGAGTTTGCATTAAGCGATGTTTACCGACTCATATTAGGTCTTCTTTGCTGGCAGATATACACGTGGGAGCATGAGAGGTGTTGATGAACTCCACCCAAGCCACAGCTGCAACTTGCTGCCAAGGGAATATCTCCAGACATCACCAGTCTGGGTTAGGCTGTAATCACTTGGGTAAAAATACTTTCCTAAACTCATGTTTGTATTTCTATTAATTTCTGTGGAGTGGGGGGCAAAATGTAAGATCCACTGCTGTTTAACATTTTATAATGTCCAATGATTGGATATCAGTGCCACTGGGCTCCATTAGCCTGGCTCGTGTTGCCCTGTCAGTGCCAACAGTGAAGTCTGTGACTGTGCTGTGCAGCTCCCAGGTGGGACTCCACCGTGTGATCTGTATCCAGAGGAACCCCCCGCCCCACCTCCCCCTCAGCTTTTAATGATGTTTCAGTCACTGACCTAATAAAGCAGAGGGGAAAAAAATCATCTCCCAGCTTTACTCACTACACAAGCGATCCACACTGTAGAAACATGAAAGGCAACTGAGGCAAATTGGGGGAAAATACCGACCAGCTGTCATCTTTCGATGTAAAAATAAAACAACAACAGTTGAGTCACCGAGCCATATGCATGCCACAGTGAAAGGAAATAAAGCCTTTCATAAAGAAACTCAGCTGTTGCGGACAGCATGAATCATGTAACACCCAAAGGAGCGAACACTTGCTTTGTCTCTTTTTGCTGTAAGGAAGTATTTAACACGAGATACTTCCATCCAGGAGGCATTAAGCAAGGGGAAATCCATCTTTGGCACGACAGCTGGGATGACAAGATTCACAATAGTGAGAATAACAGTGCCATGACCCGTCAGACCCAGGAGAAGCATTTTTCTCCCCACCATAGCAAAGATCGAAACTTTTATCCAAACTTGGTCCTGTTTTCATTCTGAGACTGATCCAAGACCTTTAAGGTGGACAGGTGAGAGTCCATACTCATGTTTTAGTGCAGAGAAGCGACAGGGACTGACTCTGAAAGGACTAGTTGAAGATCACATTTTTGATAGTTTTGTGTTTTAAGAAATTCGTGCTTTATTTCTTTCTGTGAGTATTTATTGCAGCTAATGATTAAAGAGATTTTTATTGTCGATTGTTTGTAATTGCTGTTGCAGTTGTGGATGCTTATTATAAATATGGCCAAAGTTTCAAATATTGTCTCTGTATACCCAGGCTTTAGACTGCTCAAAGTGTTCGCTTACAGTTTTTTGGGATCTTTATGAGGCCAAACAGGCTGACAGCTCTGGTGCTTCCACTCAGAATAAAGCAGAGCTTGACGGGAAAGACAGTTGCAGCGTGGATGTTTGAGCTGCTCCCATTTGAATCTCATTCATGTTTGGAATCTTATCCTTTCAGTGATAAAGCCAAAGTATTTGTAGGCTTAGGTTTCCTTATGAAATGATTTATTTTTTGAAGAAACTTGCCACATAGGAGGGTCTCAGTGGCAGGGGGCAGGGATAGGATTTATTTCCTTATCACACCTTTGTGCAGATAAAGGCATTTCAAAAGCTACAGGCTACTTGCTATATGAAATTTCTATCTGTATTTTTAGTTATAAGAGGAAAAGCCTTCTTTCCTAATAAAACAAACACATGGCATATACAGTATGTGTTTTTTCCCTTTTGGTGCACATCTGGAACATAATCATTTGCATTTTCGACCAATTTTGGTAACCCCCATGGCCTTTCACCTCCAGGAATGAGTCTGTTTTTAACAAGCAAAATCAATAATTTGTGCAGATGATGCACACTGGCCTCACGGGACAAAACGAACCTGTTTTTTTTTCTGAATTTGAAGCTGTTGATACTGAAGGAAAAACTTCAAGAGGGACCAGTAGATTTGTCCACCATCTCCCAGATTACAGAGTACCTGACAGACAGGCCACAGTTTGTTAGACTGGCTTATCATCGTCTGACATGGTGACGGGCTGTCTCCATTCCTGTTCCCTTTGTGCACCTCAGATTTTGAATAGAAACACTCTGACGATTCTGCAGTGGTTGGATGTACTAATGATAAGCAAGAGGAGGAGTACAGAGCACTAGTGGATGATTTTGTGTGCATTCTGTGAGGAATCACCTGCTTGTGAATGCGAATAAGACCAAAGAGATGGTGACGACGAGCACAGCTACACGACCAGCGTTTGTCCTGGGACAGATTGTTGATTTGACGGAGGTTTACCCATGCAACCATGACGGCAACAGGCTGACCTGGAAGATGAGCAGGCTCTGTTTACTAATAAAGCTGCAAACCACAGCAAAACAGACATTATCAGTCTGCTGTAGCGAGCACAGTGTACGGAGCAGGAAGGCTGGCTCTGTGATTGGCTGAAAACTCTGGTGGAAGTAACAAACCTAACCACCTCCGCACCACGCACTGGACAGCAGCAGAGAAACTTTCTCTAACAGGCTGATTCAGCCACAAGGACAGATACAGGAAGTCTTTCATAGGTCATGTGACTCATCTATCTGAAAATCATGTTTTCTTATGTTAATGGTTTATTCAAACCCTGCACCCAGAAACGTAGCAAAAAAAAAAAAAGGGTGGACAGATCTATATTTAAACGTATACTTTGTTTCCTTATTTGGATTTCAAATCAGATTTTACTTTAGTAAAATATATGTTGCCATTTTGAATTTTATTTTACTGCGCTATACACTATTATAACTATATCGTTATAGGTTGTATTAACCTTCATTTTTAACTTCTGTACCAAAAAAATTCTCCAGCTTTTGAGGCTAAAGTGCGACTTAGCTAAAGTGAAAAGCTGCATGAACCCACCCATAGAAAACAGTTCAGACAGTTAGTACAGGTTTTATTTACCATACATACAGTTTGCACTGCCAAGCCAGAGCCAACATCATTTCATTCAAAGCTATAGACAAACAGTACATCACATGCCAACATTTGCATAACCTCTAACAGTCTCACTCACGTCACCGTAAACATGGTTCTCTCTTGCACGATAGAAGTCACATATTTATAGACATTTACATGTGTATCTACACTCAATATCTCTACAAAGCATAGAAAAAATAAATTTCATTACCTTTATTCTTACATTATTCATTATTACATTATGTATATTTATTGATGGCAAAGCAGGGGTTTATGGTTTGACCACATGTTGCTGGATCTCGGAAAGAAAACAGTTTTCACTGCAGTTGAAAGCACAAAGCTGTCGTCCACCTGTTTTGGGACAGAGTGGACTGCGATGCGACCGGGGGAGAGAACAGGTGACTCTAATAACAACTGCTGAGACACAGCCTTCATCTGCAGTCACGTGGCAGAGCCATTAATCCAATCTTTCATACTTTTTAAGAAAGTGTCCACAGGGAGCGTTAGAGCAAAAAACAAAACACCCCAAAAAACAGATTCCGGTAAAAAAAAAAAAAATCACTTCCATCACTCAGATCGTACATCAGCCTGATTGTATAAGCACATTTAACAAAGATGGGAGGAGCAAAGAGTTTAGAGAGCAGTCGTTACCCTTCCTGTAAGTTTACATGCATTTAGAGTAGATGGTTCCTTCCTCTTTCTTCTCCTCCAG